ATCGATAAGCTTGATGAGGCGCCGCCGCTCCTCGCCGCGGCGCAGCTTCTCGTCCCAGAGGTGCTCCTGCTTGCAGTCGTCGGCCTTCATGTCGAAGGGCTGGACGACCTTGGGCGGCTGGACGAGCCAGGCGGACTTGGCGGCCTCGGGGGCCCGCGCCGTCGGCCGCGCCCGCGGCGCGGGCCCCCGAGGCCGCCAAGTCCGCCTGGCTCGTCCAGCCGCCCAAGGTCGTCCAGCCCTTCGACATGAAGGCCGACGACTGCAAGCAGGAGCACCTCTGGGACGAGAAGCTGCGCCGCGGCGAGGAGCGGCGGCGCCTCGACGTCTCCGGGCCCGAGGCCTGGGCCAACGGCGCGACGCCGCCGATCCCCTGCGCGCCCAAGGCGCGGGAGAAGCGCGTCGACTTCGCGCCGCCCGCGCGCCTCAGCTCGACGCGGCCGAACACGCCCGTCGCGGCCGGCGCGCCGCGCGACGCGGGCCGGCCGCGGCCGCAGACCGCGCCGTCGCCGACGCGCGGCGGCGCCAAGGCCGCCGCGCGGCCCCCGGCCTTCGACCTCGACGGGCCCGCCTTCGTCAGCCCCGTGCGCAAGCCCGTCGGCAAGGCCCGGCGCGGCGTCTTCCGGTCCCGGTCCGCGCCGCCGCGGCGCCGCGACTAAAGTGGCGAGTTCAAAGGTTACGGGGGGCCCGGGGGTGATTACCCTTCAAGGTTGCGCCGTAGGTGCCACAGCAGACGCGGACCCATCGCGCCGCGACCGGTGGAGCCCATGCCTCGCTTGCTCGGTACGCCAGCCCCTTCAATAACCTTCAATAACTCAGTCAAAGATCGGCCTTCCGCCGCGGGATGCCGGCGCCGTGCGCCGGATCGGGTTCGCTCCGGCACGCTCCGGGATCCCGGTGGCGCCGGCCCTCGCGACGGCCGGCCCGAATGAAGACTGCTCGTTCGGACCGGGTCCTAGAGGCTAGTAGAGCGGCGGCCAGGTCGACTCTCTTCGAATTCGGTGACGCGCAGACTGGCGCCGGGGCACCCTCGCGGGCTTTGTGCGGCGCGTCCGCACGGTGGGCTATGTGAATGGAAGGTTAGAGGCTCGGCAGGCTCAGGCCGAGGTCGATCTTGAAGTTGCCGTCGATGGGGTTCATCATGTGGGAGATGAGTGCCGGCTTCGGCGACTCGGAGAACCAGACGTAGTTCGCCAGCGGCCGCGTCACCTTCTGGTCCGCGGCGAGCGCGAGGCGCAGCGACGCCGACAGGGACCCGCTGCTCTCGGCCGTCGGGTTCAGGAGCACGGACGTCGACCGGAACGTCGGCGACCCGGCCTTGTCCGGGTCGACCTCCAAGCGGTCGAGGCGGCCCTGGACGCCGTAGCCGAACTTGACGTGGTCCTCGCCGACGACGCAGACCAGCAGGCCGCCCGGCGCCGAGCGCTTGTAGCGCGCCGCGAGGCTCGCCGCGGCCTCGTCGTAGAGGATCGTCGACGCGAAGAAGTCCGCGTAGGCCGGCGCGCCGCTGATGTTCGCGTAGCCCGCGGCGCGGTAGCGCCGCTCGATGACGCGCTTCGCGTAGACGTCGAAGCCGGGATTGAGCTTCGCGTAGCGAACGAACGCGCCGACGTCGTCGACGTACGCGTTCCGCTCGGCCTCGCTCAGCGCCGCGATGCCGCCGTCGCGCTGCACGCGGCCCATGGCCTCGGCGGCGACGCCCAGCGGCACGACGTCGCCCACGACGCGGTCGCGCTGGAGGGTCTGGAGCGGCTCGAGGTACGACGCGTCGCCCGCCGCCGCGACGGCGGGCCAGGCGTCGGCGGTCTTGAGCCAGTCGCCGCCGGCGAGGGCCGGGCCGGCGCCCAAGGGCGCCGCGTCGAGGCCCAGGGCCACGGGCCGCCCCGACTTTTTTCTTAGTTCTCGGACGAGGTCGGCGGCGAGCGCGTAGTCGCCCGCGTCGCCGCGCTTCGCGCCGAGGAGCACGACGTCGAAGCTCGCGATCTGCTTCAGGCAGGACTCGACGGCGCGGCTCACGTAGGGCTGCATGACCGGCGGGTCGCCGTCGACGATGCGCCAGGACACGGGGCGCGGCGACCGTGTCTCCGCTCGCGCCGCGGCGGGCGCCAGGCTCGCGCCGGCGGCGGTCCGCAGGAGATCTCTACGCGAGGTCGCGAGCGGTTGGGAGCATTGCAGGCAGAGCGAGGCGGCGACGAGGCGGAGCCAGAGGGTTGGCCTCTTTGCTGAGCTCATCGCAGAGTCTCGTCTGCAACTGCGCCGAGGCAAGAGCGGCCTGGCGTTTGGGTGCCCTCGCCTTGCAGCAGCCCGGGTCGATGGCGCCTGCCATGGAGCCTCAAAAGGGGAAGTCTTTTCTCGCGCAGGCGCAGCGCTACCATGCCGCGGGTGGCGACCTCAATGCTCTCTGTCGCATAGTCGAGCCGGGAGATGGCTCTGTACGTGTCGAGTTTCAGGGATCCGCCGGCAATACAACTCTCCTGTGTGCTGCGGCTACCCGTGGTTGGTGCTCAGCCATAGAATGGTTGCTAGCACACGGTGCCGACGTGCATTCTCAACGCGGTGACCAACAGACGGCGCTACACGCCGCCGCTCTTGGCGGACGCGCTTGGATGAACAACCCCGCCCCTCAACGCAACCGACTCGACGCGGCGGTGCTCCTGCTCGACGCAGGCGCGCGAGTCGATGATCGCAACGACATGGAACACATGACCGCGCTCCTCTATGCTACCAGTTGGTCACAAACAGACATGTGCAGGCTCCTCTTGAGTCACGGCGCGTCGCTCTACGTGCGTGATCTGAATGGCCGCGATCCCGAGGACAGAGCGAAAGCCTTCAGCCACAAATCCACGCGAATTCTCATCGCCGCCGTCCGCGCGGCGGGCGGCTGGGCGGCCTACCTCCATGCGCCGCGCGCTGCGCTGCTCGCGCTGCGCCGGGAGCTGCCCTCCCTCCGCGACCGCGGCCGCGCGACGCCGTCGAGCGTGCGCGTGCACGAGCGGCTCTTCCTGGACACGCCCGGCGACGTCTTTACGTCTGTCCTGCAGTTCTGGCGCAGCGACCGCGACTACTAAGCAAACACAAAGCCCCCCCTTTTAGCTCACCTCGTTGACGTCGAAGGACGTGAGGCGGTCCCGCGCGTGCCGGCGGCGGCCGTCGGAGCCGGCGCTCGACGACGAGAGCGCGCGGACCAGCCCCGACGGGCTGGCGCCGCCGCGCTGGCGCCGCGGGACGCAGCAGAGGCGCTTGAGCTGGTCCGACGTCGCGCGCCACAGCACCTGGTGCCGCGCGAGCCCGAAGACGAGGAAGATGAAGATGCCCATGGACGACGAGAACGTGTCCGCGATGAGGCTCAGCACCTTGACCGTCGACCCCGCCTTCCCGAAGCCGTCGCGGGGCCCGAGGCGCGCGGCGCAGGCGCAGATGTTCAGGAAGGCGTGGATGACGTGGAGGAGGATGAAGAGCAGCAGGCGGTGGCCCACGGCGGCCGCGAGGCGCGTGTCCGTCGCGTCGCGCGGGTCGTCGCCCGGCAGCGACGAGAACGACAGCGACAGCTGCTGGCGCCGCCGCCCGAGGGACGCCCCGAAGGCCGCGAGGTCCGCCGTGCCGTCGAGCGTGTCCGCGCCGCCGGGGAGGTCGTCGGGCGCCTTCGTCTCCGCGTCGAGCGCCGCCAGATCCTGGCGCGACCGCGCGTAGTACCTATCCTGCGTCTCCCGCGCCTTCCGGAGGCCCAGCAGGCAGAGCGCGAGGGTCACGCCCAGGTAGGCGACGGACGCGCCGTACTGGGGCCGGCCGTAGGGGTAGCCGCAGAGCTCGTCGCGCGGCAGGCGCCGCCGCGGCCGCGCGACGGCGACGGCGAACGACAGGACGACGGGCGCCGCGACCGCGAAGGCGAGCGCCGCCGCGCGGCGCCGCCGCCGCACGGGCGGCGGCGCCTCCCCGGGGAGCAGGGGCTCCTCGTGGTCCGCCTTCGCGGGCGCCGCGCCGTCGCGCACGAGGAGCGCCGCGGCCGCCGCGGTGCCGCACGTCGCTAAACGCACGACGGACGCGACGACGGCCCGCGGCGCGTCCAAGGACCCGCCGCCGACCCGCGAGCCGCACGTCGCCGTGTCGAGGGCGCCGAGGGCGTGGCAGCCCGCGTTCACGACGAGCAGGAGCACGCGCGTGTCCGCGGGCTTCCACGCCGCCGCCCCCGTTTCGTCTTTCCGCCGCGCCCAGTCCGCGCGCCACGTCGCGTAGAACGACGCCGCGACCCAGGCCGCGAGGACGCAGGACGGCACGCACAGGTAGGCGTCCGTCGTCCGCGCGTACTCGTCGAGGACGACGCCGACGTGGCCCGCCTGGATGACCAGGCCGGCGAAGAGCACGACCGGGGTGGAAGCGAGAGTACAAACAACAAGGCTCACGGCCGTCGTCGCCGCCGTCTCCGGGTCGTGGCCCAGGTACTCGTGGGCGTAGACGAGCACGGACGGCGCCGTCGGGATCGCGCCGTAGACGAAGCCGAAGCCCCGCAGGTCGCCGTCGCCGCCCGTGAGGCCCACGGCCAGGTAGATGGCGATGGGTAAGACGACGCACTTGATGCCCGACAGCACGCCCGGCAGGAGGAGCGCCGACGGGTGGAGCTTCGTGACCTTGCCCACGAGGCTCAGGCCCGTGAAGAACAAGGCGCATGGCGTGAACGCGGCCCCGAGCGCGCCGAGCGCCATCGCGAAGGGCGACGGCAGCGCCGACGGGCCGAAGACGACGTTGAAGAGCGCGCCGGCGACCGTGCAGGCGACGAGGGGCGTGCGCACGACGCGCAGGAGCACGCGGCCCGGGTCGCGCTCGGGCCCGCGCGGCGCCGACGCCGCGGACGGCCGCGGCGAGTCCTCGATCGTCGGCGCGACGTCGTCGTCGTCGTCCGGGGGCGCGTCGGGCCCGGGCGACGCGGCGCCCATGAGCAAAAAGCCCACGGGGTTGAGCAGGAGCAGGGACACGGGCGAGAGCAGGTAGAGCATGCTCACCATCTCCGGCCGCGTGTCCTTGTACAACGCCGTCATCACCGGCAGGCCCAGCGCGAAGTCGTTGGACTGCGTGCAGAAGATGGCGCGCAACGCGGACACGGCGACGACCTTGCGCTGCTGCGTCGCGTCGCCGCCGCGCCGCGACTCGAGGAGCGCCGTGCAGAGGAGCACTCCGAAGAAGACGGCGGCCTTGCCCGTCGCGATCGCGACGAGGAGGTGGACGTCGATGGACGCGAAGCTCAGCGTCGCGAGCTCCTTGAAGAGCAGCGCCGGCAGGGAGAACCGGCCGATGAAGGTGCCCAACGCCCGCGGGCCCTCGCCCTCGACGCGGATGACCTTGACGCGCCCCGCAAAATAACCCGACGCGATGACGAGCGCGCAGGAGAAGAGCGCCGCGGCGAAGGACGGCATCGTGAGTGCTTTCTTGGGAGATGTGCTTTCTCCTCTATCGAGGACGGCGCGTCATGCGCGCAACATCAATCTCTCGCACGCAACACCTCGACGAATCACACGAGCACGAGCGGCACGTTCGCCGTCAAGGTCGTCCTTGCCTCTGCGCCGGTTGCTCTCGTGGACGCCTCCATCATGAGCTACACGTCGGACGTGGACGTGGAGCTCGGGAGCCCCGCGGAGATCGCCGTGCTCTCGGCCCTGAACGCGCGCCTCGACGCCATCGACGTCGCCGGCTGCGACGCCATCTTCGACCTGCTCGATAAACACAACCGCAACGTCCTGAGCCTCGAGGAGCTGCGCGAGGGCGTGCGGAGCGACGCCGTCGAGGACTACATCCGCGAGACGGGCAACGTCGTCATGAAGGGGCTGCTCAAGGACTGGGAGCGGTCCGAGGCGCGCGTCGGCAGGGCGCTCGCGGCGCTCGACCCGGAGCTCACGGGCAAGGTCACGCGAGAGCACTGGCGAAAATTCGTCGTCTCCGTCGCGCGCGAGCGCGTGCGCCACCTGCGCGCGCTGGGCCTGCTCGGCGGGCGCTGCTACTGGGGCCGGGGCCTCGAGGACGCCGCGAGGCCGACGACGGCGTGCTGGTGGTTCTGCTGCGGGTGCCTGCCGAGGCAGCAAAAGGGTGATTCAAGTTCGCTTCAACGTGAGTGTTATGCGCGCGCGCGTTTCGGAAACAGCACCCACGCTTCGAGAGCGCTCCGAGAGATGATCGCTCGTCCAAAAATCAGCGGAAACGAGCGGGAAACGACCGAGAGAGGAGCCTTTGAAGTTGGGAATTTCGCACCCTTTTCCTGCCCAGGTGCCTGCCGCGGGGCTACTGCGCGGATTTCTGGTTCTACTGCCGCAACGCGCACCCGGCGCTCTTCTTCCTGCGGGACGACGCCCACCCCTTCTCGCGGCTCGAGGCCCTCGCGGCGGAGCTCGTGGTCCAGTGCTTCTGCGCGTGCGCGTCCATCTTCGCGTCGCGCCACGAGCGGCCCTGGACGTCGCTCGGCGCCTACGCGCACAACGGCCTGGTGACCTGCGTCTGCATCTCCTTCCCCGTGCTCGTGCTCCAGGAGCTGCTCTTCGTGCTCCTGGCGTGCCCCTGCGTGCGCTACGAGCGGCGCGGCCGGAAGCGGGAACTGTGCTTCGCGTGCTGGCAGCGGAGTTTGGAGTGCGTGGGCCATTTGGTCGTGCTGCCGCTGGTGGTGGCCGCCGTGGGCCTCGTGGCCTACGCGGCCTACCTCCTCCACGCGCACCCGGAGGCCCAGGTCCACTTCCTGCTCTGGTGGGCCGCGGGGCTCGCGGGCTCCTACGCGCTCTGGTTCCCCGTGAAGCTCTCGGTGCAGTTCAACCTGTGCTTCGGCTCGAAGCGCACGGCGGCGTTGGCGAAATTCTTCGCCCTCGGCCGCTGGGCCCACGAGCGGCGCACGGCCGCGCTCAACGCGCTCCGCTTCGGCGACGACGACGACGACGCGCTCGAGGACCTCGCGGAACCCTGGCGGATTTTTGAGTCGTAATGCACAGCGTGGAAACAGAGTAGACTTAGGCGTCGAGGTCGCGGACGAGGAGCGCGAGGGCGCCCGGGCCGAGGGTCGCGAGGGCCGCGGCGTCGTCGCCGAGCGTCGCGCGGTCCGCGGCGAGCACGAGCGCGAAGCGCTCGGGCCCGCGGCCGCTCGCGTCGACGAAGTCGCGGACGTCGCCGACCGTGTCCGCCGGCGCGAAGGCGCGCATGAGGGGCGCGCCGCCGCCCGGGAGGCGCAGGCGCACGCGGACCGCGTCGGGCCCCGCGGGCTCGGGCGCCTCGTCAAACTTGCGCTTCTTCGACGCGCGCCGCGCCTCCGCCTCGTCGTCGGCGGACGCGCGCGACGCCGCGAGGGCGCGCTCGAGGGCCGCGGCGTCCTCGGACGCGCGCGCCGCCTCGGCCTTGGCCGCCTCCTTGGCGCGGTCCGCGCGGAGCGACGCCTCGTACTCCGAGTCCTGCTGCTGCATGGCGTCGCGCGCCTCCTCGTTGCGCGACATCGCCAGGGCCCGCTCGAGGGCCGCGGCCTCGTCCTCGACGGCCGCGGACGCGCGCATCGCCCGCTCGAGGTCGTCGCGCGGCGGCGGCGGCGGGCGCCGCGGCGGCGGCGGCGGCGGCGCCCGCGCGCGCGGCCGCGGCGGCCGCGCCTCGCCGCGCGACAGGGCCAGCGCGCAGGCCATGTCGTAGTCGAAGTCGTCGCCGTGGGGCGGCGGCGGGCCGAAGTCGTCGCCGAAGTCGTCGTCGGAATCGGAGTCGGGGGAATCGGAGTCGACGACGACGGGCTCGGGCGCCGCGGCCTCGTCGTCGGAGTCGACGACGACGGGCTCGGGCGCCGCGGCCTCGTCGTCGGACGACGCGAGGTCGATGGGCTCGTTGGACGCGCGGCCCTCGCGCGGGCCGCCCGCCGCGGGACCCGCCGGCGACACGAGGTCGATC